AACTCTGCCATTGTAATACAAAAACAACCATAGACAATATGTAAACAAACGAGCTGTGTTCAAATAAAACTTTATTTACAAAAACAGGCTGTAGGCTGGATTCGGCCTATAGGCTGTAGTTCGTCAACCCTTGCCTTATTTGGCTGGTATCAAAGTTTTTCATTCCATAAATTAAATTCGATACCCAAGAAGATACAGACTCAGATATTCATGCTAAATCATGTGTGATTTATATCAGAACAATCTTGGTTCTGATTTTGGATGGGGACAAGAATGAACCCAAGACATTTAGTATATGAATAAGAAAAATGATCTAATGGGAACAGAGTTAAAAGGGCAATTTCATTATCTTTGCTAGTGATTAAGGTATGAGATGTGCCTCAATCCTGGCCAAAAACACTGAGAAGATATCCACTGGGGATGGGGGTGGGGGGTGGAGGGGAGTTCTGGAAAAGAGACAGTCCCTCTTATTCCTTTAGATATTGCTATGTTGAGATGGGATGCTAGTCCTGCTGCAGCCGTACTGGGATAAGGGGAAACCAGTCTTAGAATGAAGCAAATAGGGAGGACCACAAGGTAGAGAAAGTTAGACAATGAGTCCTTGATGCCATTATTGAGCCACTCCTGAGTCTCTGGATTTCATTCTGTAAGATATTACTGTTTAAGCCAGTTTGAGGATTTTCTGTTATTTGCAGCCAAGAACATCTTAAATGATCTAAGAGCTCAGAACAAATGACTGCCCACTTCACAATTTTACCTTCAAGTTTTCACACATAAATAAAAGGAAGTATGTAAGGTCCTGAAAGTCCATACAGATTACCTACAAGTGAAAGAAAAAAAACTGTCTACAAGTATATCAATTACCAAAGTTTATAACTTTATAAATTCTATAATCTTGCAGAAAATAATAACGCAATACCTACTTTTTTGGTAGTGTATTTAAAACATCCTTTCAACATTTTTTCCTCTAAATCAGGGGTTGGCAATTTTTTTTCTGTAAAGGGCCAGACAGTAGGTACTTCAGGTTTTGAAGGCGACAGAGTCTCTACTCAACTCTGCCATTATGGCTGGAGCCTAGACAAGCAGCCAAAGACAAAACGTAAAGGAATGGGTGTGTCTGTGTTCCGGTAAACTTTACTTACCCCCCCCCCAAAAAAGGCAAGCAGGCTGGATTTGACCCATACGCTATAGTTTGCTGACCCATGCTCTAAATAGTTAACAGAAAAGAAAATATCTTTCCCAAACAAATCAATTTTACTAGGATTCAAAAGTAGTTTCTTATTTCAAATGTATACAAGTTACATAGAAAAAAAAAAAAGGAAAGTAAGTAAAGCATTTGAGTATTATATTCATATACATTAGACCACATGATATAAAAAAGTCTAGTTACCTTGTTTATACATATAACTAACCTCTATAAAATGTAATTCAGAATTATACTGTTAAAAAGTCTCCTATAGTACAATAGGAAAAAAATTCCAAATATGCAAATTTATAATATCTACCTATTAATATAGCTAAGCATTTTAAATTAGTGCATTTGTAAGGATTTCTATTCATACTGGCTATTCAAGGAAGAAGAAAAAAAAAAAAGTCCTACACAATCCCTAACCTAAATGATCCCATCTCTCCCAGGAAGGTGAAACTAGAGTTAACTACAAATGGAATGAAGAAACAAGAAGTGAATCATATGGACATTTTCCTTCCTAACAGTCCCCAGGTACAAAGATACTCATGTGAACATTTCACTACCCAAAATCATAAATGCTTTTTAAAGGCACCATTTTTCACTGTCAAATACACACTAGAAAGGAAAAAAGTAAACTTCACCCTCAGTCATTAACCAAGAAAATCTGCTATGTGCATATACACACTTTCAAGAATTAGTATAGGAAATTCCACTGTGATTACACTCAAATGATGAAAATCTGAGAAATATTATTCACTTCATGTTTAAAACAATAAACACTTTCAATGTTTGTTACAAAATAACCTTATTTCAGGGGGCAGTGGTGGTTCAGTGTAGAATTCTCCCCTTTCATTTGGGAGACCTGGGTTCGATTCCTAGACAACATACCTCAAGCGCAGCTACACCTGTCTGTCAGTGGAAGTTTTCCTGTCGTTGTGATGCTGAACATGTTTCAGCAGAGCTTCCAGACTAACACAAACTAGGAAGAAAGACTTGGCAGTCTACTTCCAAAAAATCAGCCAAAAAAACCCCTATGGATGACAATGGTCTGATCCCATTGCCTACGAGGTTACCATCAACTGGGGGCACTCAATGGGAGCTAGCAACAACAACCTTATTGTAACAGACTTTAAAACTAATATCACAAATAAGAGATATAAAGTTTGATGTTATCCTTGTATAAGGATTGACCTTTTCTATATTCAAGGAATTGCTAACAGCACTTATCTATGGAAAACAGGACTGGGAAGGGGGTTTGGGGAGTTCTAGGGAGGGAGGAGTGCTTTTTTCACTTCACATCTTTCTGGGTTTTTTACTTTGTCATAAAATGTATTGCTTTTATAGTTTTAAAAAATCGTTTAAAATATATATTGAATACAAATTAATATTAAATATACAAGGAGGTAACATGAATAGGAAAGGCAGGATGTCTCTTAGAAGTTGAGGAACACTCTGGGGTCAACGGGCCACCTCTACCCCAAAGAGGAGACTATATCCTGGCTGCAGAGTCAGAGAAGATCTCAGACTTAAAATAGCCTTGTAAAGGTGAAGTCTATAGTAACTCAGCCCAGTTCCACTGAATCCTGTATCCCACAGGTAGTATCAGGATAGTTAAGTAGTTCTTGGTTTGCAAGGGTTCCAAGCCATCCCAGAAAGGGTGACTTCCTTGACTTTCCAGATTCACAGCAGTAACATGAAATTATACTGGCCATACCCTGCCAGGTATGTCCCACCAGTACAGCTCAGTCTTCACAACTTCAACAAAACATTTTTTTAGGCTTTGGCCTATGGGCAATACTGGGTAAGAATGGCCGCTCATTAAGTTAAAAGGGGATGAAAAAACAAGATTCTCATCATCATTTCATATTTCAGACAATACGTCAGACTACAAAGATTAAAAGATAGCAAATTGGAAATATATAAAGACTTCCACTGTAACAGGCTGCCAAAGATAAAAATAATAAAATCCAATTCTGTTCTTGGGAATGGTGAAGCAATAAACAAGAAACCACCCTGGTTCCCCATGCCTTGGACTACTAACAGCAAGAAAGGGAAAAAACAGCAAAGTCTGTCATTTATTTCCCCAGGAAAGAGACTAATCAATTTCCAGTTAAGTACATAGTCACAATCCCCAAAACAAAGGACAGGCTCCACATACTGTCCTCATGCCTAAATCAATTACATCCATTCTACAAATATTTGAGAGTTTCTCCTACATGCTGTTCCAAGCGTAGAGATCAGTGAGTAAACAAAACAATGTATAACCCACAAGAGCAAGAACTTACACATTCTAAATGCCACAATCAAATTGTGTCTCACTTAAATAAAACTAAAGAATTGCTACATATGTCATTCATTCCTTGCTAATATCAACTCTGTATTAAACTCCATCCTACATGTACAAAAAAAAATAACCTAGAGTCAATACAATCCTTTTTACAGCATGCTGTTAACTTCAAAAGGTGTGTTCTGCATTTTCATATTTGAGGTAAATTATTAGTCTCTCGAAGTTAAAGCACACCGATGAATCCTGAAGGTAAAAAACCTGCAACCCTGAATATTAGTTTATCTTCTCAAATCTCATAACACTGCTTTAGGAAATGGATTAAGCCATTATTTACCCAACAAAATCAACGGGGCAATTGTTCATTCAGAGCTTCGTATAAAACAGTCTTTAGTGTTCTAAAAAATGTATGCTCCGTAAACAATAGAATGCAATGTCTATGTCAAAGTACTCGTTTATCAAACAAACTCTTATTATTTTAGACTTTTTCATTTACATCATGCCAGTCTTAGTGCCACAGGACTGCCACTGAGCACCTCATTAAAATGCCGTCCACAAAATCTCAACTGTATTCTGAAATATATTTTTGATGAAGGTGACTTTAACAACATTCCCAACCTCATTAGTAACCACCAGTTAAGGAAAATAAATACCAAATATTCGAAATGTTTAAAGTAACATGACAAATCTGTATAGGAAGTGATGTATTCCATTTGAAATAATGTAATGCCTCAAAGTTAGCCCAGGAATTGAATTTAGAACCCTTTAAAGGAAGGGAGGCTGTAATGTACGGAACTTGTCTGGTGGGATCTGAGATATTAAACTGGGCTGGCTCAAGGGCCGGGTAAAGTTGGAAGGCTCCGAGGTCGCCTGCAGCAGCAGCAGGTAGAGCGGCGGCGGCCCGGGAAGCGCGGCCTTCACGGCGGGTGGCGGCAGCGGGAGCCGCTCTGCGCCCCAAACCTTGTAATGCAATATCCCCTTTACGCTTTCTAGGAATTCTACACCCTTACTTTCAAACTGGAGACCAGGGAAGAGTAAGTTTTAATAATTCCTTCCCTACACTGCAAAATGTAATTCTTCCTACACTTTACATTTCCAAACTACCTCGGAGGGATGTGCGAGCCCGAGGCCGAGCCCCGGCGGCGGGAACCCGACAGTCTAGCGGGACTGGGGGCGGGGGAGACGGACGCCGACGCCGAAGGCCGACCCAGACCCCGCGCCCCGGAGGGAAGAGAAACGCGCGGCTGCAGATAGACTTTGGCTCGAACGGGGCACGTTTGGGCCGCGGCCCTGCTACGATTCGGGCAGGGCCTCCCGGCTCCCGCTGGCCTGGGAACGGCCTGGCCGGCCGGGCCGTTACGACAGCGGCGCCTCGGCCCGCAGGACGCAAGCTGACGGGGCGCGAGGCCCTCGCGGCGCCGCCACCGCCGGGCAGCGCGGTCCCCCGCAACTTCTGGCCGCCACCTCAGCGTCTCGGGCAGAGCCCAGGAGCGGGGTGTGGGGGAAGGGAGGGCGCCAGCGGCTTACCCAGAGAACAAGCGGCACCTTCCGCCCGGGCGTGTGTGGCTGAGGCGCTGCGCGGCGGCGCCCGGCGTCGCGACTGCGGCAGGGAGGGAGAGACGGTGGTGGGAGCGCTGGGCCGCCGGAGAGGAGAAGCTCCGCCGCCACCGCAGACAGCTCCGCAATATGGCCGCCCGGCGCCTCCTCGGGGGGGGAAAGGCGGGG